TAAACTTATATTAAAGTTTTTCTTCATTACCCATTTAAGCCGTCTCCAGCCATTATTTTCACAATGTATGCCCTCTGATGTTTAGTTACCAGTTATTAAAAAGGTTTTGCCATAGTCTTCACAGCTGTATTGTTTTACCCCAGTGTATACTGTTTGATAACCACCAGTTCTAAATTGTAATGTTTTCCACACACTACACAACTATATGGTTTTTCCACAGTGTGTATTCCCTCATGTCTTTTAAGTTCATTATTACTTCCAAATTCTTTACAACACAGCACATGAGTGTATGAGTGTTTCCAGCATGTGTCCTCACATGTTGCTTTAAATGAGTATTTCTTGTATATTTTTTGCCACACACAACACAACTGTATGGTTTCTCCCCAGTGTGTGTACTCTTATGTCTTTTAACTTGACTATTGGTTCTAAATTCTTTACCACACACTACACAACTGTATGGTTTCTCCCCAGTGTGTGTCCTATCATGTCTCTTGAGTTCACTACTTCTTACAAATGTTTTATCACACACTACACAACTGTATGGTTTCTCCCCAGTGTGCCTCCTCACATGTTGCTTCAGGTGAGTGTTTGTTGTAAAATGCTTGCCACACTCTTCACAAGTGAATGGTTTCTCACCATTATGTATTCTCTGATGTTCTTTAAGATGACCTTTACTTATAAACAGTTTACCACACACTACACATTTGTATGGTTTCTCCCCAGTGTGTGTCTTCAGATGTCTCTTTAGGTTACTATTTCTTCCAAATGTTCTGCCACTGACATCACAACTGTATTGTTTCTCTCCTGTATGTATTCTCTGATGTGCTTTAAGATTACTACTTTTCCTAAATTGTCTGCCACACACAACACAACCGTGTGATTTTGTCACAGTGTGTATCCTCTGATGTCTGTTTAGGTTGCCATTTCTTGCAATTTTTTTGCCACAGACTTCACAACTGTATTACTTCTCCCTAGTATGTGCTCTCTGATGTAACTTAAGATGGCCATCAGTTCTAAATTGCTTGCCACACAATACACAACTGTACGGTCTCTCTCTCTACGAAGGGAAACTGTGCATCTTTTCTGGTTATTTCCTTCTGAATACGTTTTTTTAAATATGTTACAACTACTGGATTTCAGCAAGTTACATCTTTTTGTCTTGGTAAAGAAAGACTTTTTTGTAGAAAGATGGCATCCAGAAATATCCTTTCCATGACCATTGTTCACACAAGTCTCTGAACCTACAATTGAAATAAATAAATAAATAAATAATTAATATGTACATACATATATGTTGGTGTGTGTACAACACATATGAATTTACAAGTTTCGTGAAGATTTTTTAAAATGCTTGAAAAAGTATAAGCTGAAAAATATATTAAAATCAACTTACACTTTAAAACTAAACATAATATATAAACTGATGCTTGTGATCTTAGTTCCTTCAGCTAAAGTTTTTATTTGTAAGGAAACATTTCTATTGATTGTAATTTGTTTGTTGGATTTCACATAAATCTACTTGAAGGTTATCTGCACTAGACATCCCTAATTTAGCAGTGATAGACTAGAGGGAAGGCAGCTAGTCATCACCACCCACCATCTACTTTTAGTATACTCTTATCAGACCAAAGAGTGATATTTGACAGTACCCACAGTACCAAATAAGGAAATAGTGGGATATAAAGACTAAATGCTGATAAAAAAAATAACACTACAAACAAATGTAAACTAGAGAATATGTTTGTTTAATTTCAAGTGATATTTTGATTAGAAATGCTCTTCTCACGAGTGTTAGCCAAACTAGAACAAAGATGGTCTATACTGCAAATGTATAATGATCATATAGAGCATTTCTAATGGAGTATGTGCATGATTTTAGAGACAAATAAATATATACAACTAGTGAAGAACTTGAAACAGAAAATATACATATATATATATATATATTCCACAAAAAATTAATATAATATCAAAAACTAGATAAAGACAACTAAGCAGAAACAATGCATTACTGGGTAACTATGTGGTACATGACATATAGCAGAAGGTTAGTATTCTCAAGTAACTGACATTGTAGTCACACAGGTTGAAACATTTTGGCACAGGTCCATCTAGGTCATGATTTTCAATGCTGAAGTGTTCATGTGCTTGTTCTGCTAGCATGTAGCCAGTTTATCCTATGTAAAGTTAGCCATAGTTTAAAAATAATGCTGTAACTTAAGTACTAGATGTACTGTGAGAGGATACAAGTTCACTGTACAGCAATAAACCTAAATGAAAGATGTGCATAGGTTAGAAGTTGAAGCTGTTAAGATAAATAACTGTAATTGTCTGTTATAACCTGCCACCATTTTTTACTTTATTTCATATTTTTCATCTTTATATTTCATCATAAATTGACAATTTCACTACAATTATTGTTAGGTTAAAGAAACTAAGAGATAAGATTTAAAGTTTTACACACAAACTTGATATTCATTTAGAAGGTTCTTGAGGTTAAGTAATTGAAATATGAAAACTATACAATGAAAACAAATATTTTCATTCTTAGCATGAAAAATCACTCAAACTGACTCAGTAAAGGCTTCAGAAATCCACAGACAAATCAATTAAAACATTTTATTGAAAAATCTGATTTTTTTGTGTATAGCAGATTTGTAAGTTTTACTAAAAGTTTGCCAAATTATTCCATTAAGAATTATAGCATGTAAAGTTTCATGGTCCCATAGTGACTATAAGGTTGGTCAAATTGACCAAGTCCATATGTATACAGTTAATGCTAAAAACATTTTATACATTGAGACTGATACAACAATTCACTTCCTACTCAAAAACTGCACCTCAGAGGCATTTATCAATATTTAATGTTTTACTGTACCTGTGTGGTTTACATTGTCTCTCTACAAAATCACTATGAGTTATCATTAAACCATAGTAATCACATGCTCGACTTGTTTACCTGAGGTGCCATTTAATCAAATAATGTACCTATAAATTTATAATACCTCTTCAACATTAATATTTGTATTTAGTCATGGTAGATTTGGCACATAATACCCTTTCATCACTAAACACCTGTTTGACCATGACTAGCATAAACATTGGATATTTTGAACTTTTCTTAAATATGAAAGTTCTGAAACAGTCTACAAAAATGGCTCACTTTATCAGACATTTCAGAATCTCCAACTTAAATAAACACAGCAACAGGTGGTCATTGTTAGTACAGACAACAAAGATACATAAGCTGATATATATATATATATATAAAGCACATTGCAAATCATACAAAAATTAACTCTAAACTAACACAAGAACTGTTAAGGACCTTACAAAAGAAAAAGGTGTGCTGTTCTTTTGTGTGGAGAATAAGAAAGACAGTGATGAAAATGCCATGTTTTATACTGAACTCCCATATGTTGCTACATTTAATGTTTAGTTAGACTTAAAAAAGAATGGCTACTTACTGATGTGGAAAGTTTGTTTTTGTTTTGTTTTGAATTTTGCGTAAAGCTACACGAAGGCTATCTGCGCTAGCCGTCCCTAATTTAGCAGTGTAAGACTAGAGGGAAGACAGCTAGTCATCACTACCCACTGCCAACTCATGGGCTACTCTTTTGTTGATGAATAGAGGGATTGACTATTACATTATAATGCCCCTGTGGCTGAAAGGGCTAGCGTGTTTGGTCGGACAGGGATTCAAACCCGCGATCCGCATATTGTAAGTCGAGCTCCCTAACCACCTGGCCATGCCATACAAGTGTGGAAAGAAAACAAAAAATTGTGTTGGAATGTGTGGATATACTTGCTACATTACTGTTGTTGCCATACAATTCTAGCCATCAGTTTATTGAACACTATGTTACTGTTGTTACCGTACAATTCTAGCCATCAGTTTATTGAACATTACATTACTGTTGTTACCATACAATTCTAGCCCTCAGTTTATTGAACACTACCTTACTGTTGTTGCTATACAGTTCGAGCCCTCAGTTTATTGAACACACTTTTTATGTTAATGAGTGATTAAACACAAAACTGACCATTATTAATGTTCATGTTTAGGTGAAACTGACATATTGTTCAACTATGGCATCATTTCACAGAAATAAAAAGTGTATTATAGATATCACAACTCTAATGCTTATTCCCATACTATACAGCTAATTTGTTTGATTAATAGTCATTTTTGAATGTAGAGGAAATCTAATTAGTTTCTTATTAAGATGCTTCTTGACCAAGAAACTGTGACCAATCACTTTTTGAGTATCTTAACTAAGGTGACTAAGGTTTCTACCACAGAATTTCCAGGAGATATTAAGCAGCACCACACAAATCTAACATTAATTCTGAATAAAATTTTGTATTATACAGTATATTTTAGCATGATTACTTAACTCAATATAAAAATAAAACTTTTCTACTAAGTAGTGTGTCTACATCCACATGGTTAATGAATATAATTCTTGATAACTATATATTTAATTCTAACTTAGAATTAACTTGTTCTATTTCTTCTTTTGGTTCATTTTCTTTTTTCCAACTCATAACATCTTCTTCTGAAGAATCTAGAGCTTCGTCACCACTCTCGCTGAACTTAGAAATAATGCCATCTTGTGGCGAATCACCAGGATTCTTGGTGTTTACTTGAACAAATGTGTTCTAAAACAAAAAAGAACAAATATGAAATAATAATAATAAATAATTAGTGTTGTGAAAAAAGAATATGAATATTCAAATCTTTCCAATTTACTAATTGAAAAATACAAATAGTTAGAGCTGGCATTTCTGCCTTAGAATGACATCTCATAAGTTTCCTTAGAAAGACAAACAATATTGCTACAACAAAAAGTATTTGAATAAATAAAACAGTATCAGTAACTAATATATGTGATAGTGATAACACAACTATATGGATTTCTCCCACATTGTACATCTTTTTCCCCAAGATATACAGACAATTCACTTTATTTACCATAAATTTGTAGTTTCTTATGAACAAGGCCACTCGGGTGTCTTTTTGACATACATAATATGATCAATCACTTTTTTAAAGTATCTTAATAATATGACTACAGCCTCCTTATTGTGATTGACTCATACCAAACAAATATAACATGAATAAGCCATAAAATAAAATCATTTTATAAAAATTGTACATTATTAATAAACATGTTTATTAGAAAAAGTATTTGTTATATTTTGACAAAAAACATAAGAATGATGGAATGTAAAACATATCATAGGTACAAATCTCAACCCTATCATGAATGCTAAGCACCTTTCAGGTGTCAGAAGTACACCTCCATATCATATTCCAAAATGTAAGTAAAAATCTTAATTTTAACTGTATTTCTACAAGTTGTAACTCAAAATAATTTTTTAAATAATATATTTGTCATTTTGTAACATCTACTTTGCCTAATTCACAAATAAAAATGAAAAACATGTTAAAATTTCATTTCGGCATACCTCGAGGAATTTTGCCAGTAAACAATGCATTTGTAATTTTTGTTTTATACATTTTCTATCCATCCTATAGTACAGGCTATATGTGCTAATAAACTATCATCATTAGAGATATTATCTACATCTTGTTTCTCAAGTGATATGACTTTTCTTTTACTGCTTTTATCAGTACATGGCTTGGTTCCAACCAGTTTAAGACATCAACTTGTGAAGTTTGAACAATTACCAATTTAAAACAGCTATGAGAAAAGTTTAAATATAACTGGATTGAGTTGGAAATTGACTCACATCAATGTAGAGTAAATAAAGATAGTTTTGTTAGATTTAGTAAGTTTAGTAGATGATAGCAAAATATTCTGATGACTAAATCATGATTTATTGAATGTTATTGTATTAAAACAATACATATAAATAACAGATTATCATTTAATGAAAAATCTGTATTTCATAGATATAAATTTATCTCAACCAATATCATTATTTGTTTGCTTTTTTAGCTCAAAGCCACACAACATGGTGAATCAAACACTGAATTTTAGTGTTGAAAGTCCGTAAGCTTCCCATTGACCGACTGGGGTAGCACTGCTAGCAAATATATTGTTATCTAGCTGACAAAGGTAATGGTGAGGACATTTTGAAACGTGAGACCGAGTCACCAATAAAACACAAAAAATTTTAAAATATGAATTTAATAATTATGAAGCTAATATTTAATATACAAACCACCTTAACAAATAATAATAATTTTAGCATTTATAATATTCTTTTTTCCACTTTTTGAATTAACATAAAAAGTTTTAAGTAGATGATACAAGAAGTTTAGAAAATGTTTGGAAGAACAGAATTTTTCTTTATGGAATATAAAAATTTAAGTTTACCACCAGTACGAAAATCAATTGTTGGTTTTGCAACTTATTTAATGTTTACAGTCGTAAAGTTCACATACATAAAAACACGAGCTTTACAAAGACAATCTAATGGTGGAAATAACAGGTATTTTGTGAATATCTGAAACATCTGTGCTTCAGATTTTCAATGCTTAATCTTTAATTCCTAATTTTTTTATCAAAACATAGCAGTAACCACCTTCCTAATTTTACCATGGTGACCTTTTTAATCCATGTATTCTTGCTTATATGTTATGATTAATTCAGTTCTATAATTAATTCTGTCATGTACTTTCATGATCTTAAAGGAAAACAAACTGCCTCTATCAAATTTAGTTTATCTGATTTTAAATGTTATAAATATCAAACATCTTAAAAAATTCCATCTTAAAAATCCCATTAGTGAGATTTCCATTTGGAAAGTCTACAAGCTGACAGCTTCAACATGTATGTGTTTATAGTACCATGTTGTAAGCTTTCTTCAGCATATGAAGCAATAACAGAATATTCTGTGACATAATGAAGTCTTATTGAGTTCAGGAACAATTTGCCAGAGTCTGTTGTCAGTGAGTAAATTGGAAAGAAGAAATATATTCATTGTTTTGAGTGGATCTTGTTAATGAGGGCTCCATGAATTTTTTGCAATCATCATGTCACATCATGGAGCACATGCTTTCTTCAACACTGTCCACACCTACATCATTCACAAAACTGTAAGACTTCATTCTCAACTTCTCCCACATTTAAATGCATGATATTTATTCCTTCCTTTGAATACTCTGGTTCAAAACTATAACCAGTAATCCCTAATGTATCTAGCAGTTACTTTATCACAAAGCCTCCAAGCTAACTGAATACAAAACTCAATCAGCTGCAAACCGTAATAGACTTGGTGATGTCACAGACATGCAAAACATGCCCATTTCCAGTGTAGCAAAGAATTAATTTAGCCATATCTTGAAAATTAATAAACTGATTACCAAGTATATTTGGTAGATTTTACTTTCACTTCAGACATTTATTTAATGTGTATGAAAACAACAATTCATTTCCCTTTGCTGAGAATGTCCCCTAAGTGGCTTTCTT